TGTTCGATGGGCTGAATTGCACAAAATGCACGATTGCACTGGCCAGTCTGGTGCACGTTGCTATTTATTGTAACTGCCTCTTTTACAATGGACGAATCTCCCCGCTCCGCCTTAAGAAACATCATTCCTGAAGGATGCTAATCTGCATGCTGGTGCATAGAAGGCTTAAACTATTTTTTAAGGCATCTATCAGTAAGAGAATTCATTGGTAACTTTACAAGCCAACCAAACTGACTGATCGAATTGCTAACAAATGCACAAACCGGCTGATGATGCGCTATTTTGTTGAGGCTCTGCAGCAGCGGTTATCCGTCCGGCCGCTCGTTCTTCGGCCTCCAGCGCCAGCAGCTCGGCCATCAGCTCCTCGTCGTCTTCCACGTCCCCGTACATTGCTTTTTCCATTGTCTCGAAATCCATATTGCTTTGTAACAAATATCAACAAATCAGTGCAGTAATAATAATAATAAACTGAAAAAAATTATTTTAAGAAAATCTGCAGGATCCGAGGAAAAAGCCCGGAAAAATAATAATCTGCCGTAGGGATCAGCAAAACTGCGGATGCTTTATTAGTAAGGTACCACTTCGTGGCCAAATATTTTAGTGAACTATGATTCACAGTCTCAGTCTGTAAATCCAGAAATTCCCCCGGCCGCCTCGACCAATACTCACAGCCTCTGCTGGACATTCTCCTAGCGCTCGTTCCACCTTCTTCAGAGCAATACTTCCACTTTTTAGTGAATTGGAAATTTGCATGTTTTCCAAAAATTTGCATTTTTCATTTTTTCACAAAGCGAGCATTTACTAAACCCAGATTGGAGCGCACCAGGCGAGCCGGTGCGGTCATGCGCTCAAGGGGGAGGGTTTCCTGCTTAGTTCCCTAGCAATCGTAGCTTTCGTTCCATGTGTGTTTTGGAAATTTTTTAAGATGCAAACTATGAAAATTTGTTTGGCACCATAGGCTCGCCGATGAAAGGGACACAGCCGAATACTGACAGTTGTGGGAAAGCATTGATTGCTAATTTAGATATCCAGATAAGCGAGCTTGTATGTGCATTAGCTGTTGTCCTGTCTATGTTTCATCCCTAAACTGCAAACACAGATGGCAGAGCTGGTGCGGGATGGGGTGGGAACTTTCTGAAGAGACTGGGGGATCCCGACAGAAGCCAAGCTTTGAAACAGCAAATGTCACTGGTGTGTATGTTGAGCATCGCGAGAACTGTCGTTTTCTAAAGCATTATGAGGCATTCCACAGAGGATGAGCTGGGTGGGCAGCACAGAAAGGTGGCTAC